CCAGACAAATGCTTTCGATTCAGTGTTCTGTTAATTTCTCATTAAACATCTGGTGTCTGTTATTCTTGCATGCATTTAATGTAACAGGTGGTAAATCCACTACAGGACTGGAAAGACCTGAAACCTGTTATTTCTCTTTTTCTCCACCTGCTTCCCCCCTTGCTGTAATCCACCGAATCTATGTTATCTGTTACACAGATTTATTCCAATCAAAAACACTTCTGTTTCAAAGTAAGTTCCCATGAAATCAGCAGAGCCTCCTCTCAAGTAAATGACTGTATAAAACTTTTTCTTAACCTAACTTGTCTTCTGAAAAGGTTATTTCCTTCATAGTTCTATAGGGGTGGGGATAAGAACAAACATTCCCACAACCGTTTTAACTACAACTCTGATGCACCAATTCACCAGTGGATTTCCCCCCCGAATTTTCAGTTTCTTTGTCCTTTTAAAATAAAGATGAATCTGTGAGGAGATAATTTGTGCCATTTCTTCTTAATACTCCTCCCACCACCACACATGTATATGATACATAACACATTTCCTTCAAGATGAACTAAGCATGTTTTAAAAGCCAAATACAGATACGTATCCACTTTTGTGGTGCACATTTTTCAGATGCACACATTTTCTGTGCAATTATCCCCACTAAGAGGGATAGCTATCCAGCTTGATAGACAAAAAGGTTTTCCCATAGCTAGTTATCTGAACAGCTTACTGAGATGCAGTTTAGATGCCTTAGCCCAATAAACCATGATTTACAATCCTGGTTTGTAATTAGAATGTAAAAAGCAGTTTCCAGGTTTGTACATTAGAAGAAACTGCAGTTTAATGGGTCCTGGAAGTTTTCCATGAATACATACAAGGAAAGAACATCAAGAAGAGACGGACCACTAAACTATGGTTTGATCTAAAGGATTCTTTAGTGACATTTGGAATGCAGAGGAGAAAAGAAGTGGAACTGCTGAGTAGAGAACAAAAATCCATTTGACAAAAGAGTTTCTATGAAACTTTCAGAGGTTTGAGCTTTTCAAAAGACATAATTTTTTGAGACAGCCATTTTACTCCTCGTCTTATAGTATACCCTTTAAAAATGTTATTCTCCATTCTGTTCAGGCTTCTGTACTTTAGAATCGGTTCACTGTGTTTAAAACCCATTGTAAAAAATGTCAGTCTTCATACAGCCCAGTGAGGTAGATGACCTTGTACTTTTCTTTGCTCTTACATCACCTGCATTAATTTCAACTTTCATTACTCAGTTCCACTGCTTTATGCAGTATTCACTCTTTTTTGTTGTTTGTTAGTTTTAGTCTTTTGTCAAAAAAATTGCATGTACAATTACCTGCAGAAAAGAAGTAAGAATTATTAGTGTTTCAGCTTTGATACATCTTTCTTTTAAAGGATATTTGTAAATGTATTTATAAAACTTGTACGAGTGAAGAGAAAACTTGAAAATATGTAGTTAGAATACAATAACTTCTGTGGTCAAATCCAAATAAGCAGCGAGTCAAAATGGATGGCCACATCTAATGTAGGTGTGTTGAGGATACACCTTGTGAGAAAATTCTTGGATTAGAATACACTTCCTCAGATGCAGGGGTGAAATGTTTAGCCACAGGTTTACATGCAAGTATATATTGTGGTGGGAGAACGCAGCGACAATGAGTATGGGCCTAGGAAATGAAGTTTCAAACTGTCACAAGCATTATTAGTATCAGAGCTTTGAGATCTATTACAGAGTATCTTGGGAGGTTGTCTTGAAATGAACAAAAATCCATTTGACAAAAGAGTTGTCTCTGTGTAGCCATTTCTGACTTTCATCTTGTGTCCACTCATTCTTTCGCATGGCAGTTACCATGTTTGACCTATGCAGAATGCAGAAGGGGCGCTGCTGGCAAAGGATGGAATAGATTACATTAGCAGATGACAAGCATGGGTCACTCAAGCAGGCCCGCAAACTGATGGCAACATTGCTCTCCAACTACTAGATAATACTTTTAATATGATTGCAATTCACTTACTGTGTGTGCAAACTAAATTCTGTCCCAACTTCTCTAATGCAGGATTTGCCATGTTTCTGTGTGCCTCTGCTCCCAATGAAAAAGATTCATGTGTGTCATCTTTAAGCAATGGAGAAGAGTGCTGAATTACTGGTAGTCTTTTGTCTAATAACCTTGAGAGGGACTTTCTAAGCTACATCCTCAAAGGGGAAATTTGAAAGTCCTGGCTCTGAACCAACTCTGCAGCCCCCATTTTGAAACTTGCTTTAAACAAGGGAATCTGAGCTATACATCAAGCCATAATTTTTAGACTATGATTTTAGGCTGTCTTAACAGTCTAAAATCATAGGCAAGTATAGCCTCTTTTTAAAAAGTTGAAATCCAGCTGATCAACTAATTACAGATTCTTGGAACTGATTTTAACCTTCCTCTCCATTCTCTATCGCATAACTGGTAGTATCTCAACTATATTTTTTGAAGGTGGGGGAGAGCATTACTGAAGTTGATCTGAACACACTCCAGTGGATCAGAGCCTGGATATGTAGAGTGATGACTTCATATAGATCTTAAGCACAGGAAGGTTTTGGTGTTTGACTTGTAAAGATAGGAGTTTGAGACATTTTAAGGCTTTAATCCTCAAATCAATGGGTTTTTTCCCCAATGCAGGTAGTTTTGAAGATGAGCATGTAAATCTCAACAACATCAAAACAAAATGTCAAAAACACTGACAATATAAAAGCCTTATGACTTGTCTTATCCTTTAGGGTATATTTGTACGACAAAAGATGATGGAAGATCGTTGCCTGCTGGGGAGGGGAAACTGTTAAGGAATAATATGATTAAAAGAAAATGCATGAACTGCCCAGCAATAATAATAATGTGTCTTTCACCTTAAGATACAGAGAGAAAAAATTCTCCTAGATAATTGTTTCCAAGTGGTCAGAAATGGAAAATGTATCAAATTCTAGAAACAAAGCACTATCGGCCTTATTGTTATCCTTTCCTCCTCCCCCGAAGCAGACATTAGTGTTATTGCATTTACTTTGCCAGACAGGACCTACCAGTTTGGTATGCTCAATTATCTGTTCTTAACAGCAACACATTATTTTAATATAAAGTTTTCACTGCCGTCAGCAAATATTGTGTATTTTGTTTAAACTGACATGTCACATCTTATTATAAATTATAAAAAGAAATAGCGGATCCTCTCTGGGTTAGACCAAATCATTTACTGTGGTTTGGCTCACCCATATGGCATATTTTCTGCCAGCAAGCCCCAACAAGCTGATGAGAAAATAGTCACACACAAAAATAAATAAAAAAGAATTGAAATGTTGAAATATGAGCTAATGAGAAATTGTTTACTTATTTTATGAAATTAAAAACAGAAACTCTGGAATGTTCGCCTCCTCCTGTTTATAGAAAACATAAATATTTCCCCTATAAGACATTTAATAACAAAGATAAAGCAGCTTTTAGGTTTTGCTGGCCTCCAGACAAATGGGCTCTCCACTCTGAATGCCACTTTATATGTGTTAGCCAAAATTGGATGTCAGGATTTGTGTTTAAAAACAATAACGTCTGAAAATAAAGTAGCAATATTTAAAGGTCTTCATTGATTGTAGTTTATTATGCAATTATCTTAATGCTGAGCTCAAGGGGAAATGGGAGTCACACATCACAATCTTGCTCTGAAATCAAGACAGTGAGACTAAATAATAAAAAAGAGAAGAGTTTGCTATTGTATCTGCTGTAGTTACTGATTATACAATCCAATCAACTATTAAACGGTGCATGCTACTATAAAAGCAAAGGTGCTATAATGTTAAGAAATCTTCAGTAATATGAATGAACTGATGAAACTTTATTTCTCTCTTCTTATCCTCAACATCAAGTGGAAAAGAAAGAGTTCTTGTCTAGGTAATACAATATCATCAAATTATTAATTGATGTAATACTTGATTAAGGAGGATTTGGCAATGGTTTTTCTGATACTTTCAGATCAGAAATTTAGTCCTTGAAAATTATGCTTCTATAATATATGAGCAAAAAAAGATAAGCTTAAACAAGAGGTAACATAAACTTGTCAGAAAACTTAACTGATAGAGACTTAAAGAAGTCTAACCAGGAGAATGGGAAATATAAAGTCAAGAATTTATTTTTCTAGGAAGTATGTCTCGATTGTCCTACCTCATAATATTAACTGAAATTAGACAGTAATCTTTGAAATTAATTGAGTAACTTAGGATCATTTAAAGTCTTTAGAGGGCATTATCATGAGTTGAAGTCCTCAGTGATGTTACTAAGAAGTCGACTGGTATGTTTTCTTCCGTATGGACATTTTTACTTAACATTAGAGATGGACACACACACACACACAGAAAACGAACCAGGAAATTAGTCAAAAATCGGCAGCATTGAAGGAAGAGGAAGCAGTGGCAGGAAAAGATAGAAGGGCAACAAGGACAGAGGGAAGGGGGTTGGAGGTAGGCTGTGGGGGCAGGGAGGCAGTCAGTTGTTGGTTTGTTTGTTTTTTTAGACAGCTACCAGGCTGTCTTAAAACCAAATTCCCAAATGAACCAACAACCTGATTTGTGGTTAATTTGGAAAAATTCATAAATTCATGGTTTGTTTTCCATCTCTACTTATCCTATATAAGTTCAACTCTTGAAAAATTTCGATGGCCTCATTTTCTAGTACAGGCATTGAGATATTTTCCATGTGTTGAAAGAACATTTAGGGTCCTAGATCATGCAGGCTTCCCCCACCCCTCATTGCTAACATACTTACTACAGCTTTGGTCTCTGCTGTGTATGCGCTTGGCTTTATGTCCATGCTGAAATAAATATGCAAGGCTCCTTCCTATCTAAGGGGAAACTGACTGAGGTCGTCTGTGCTCATTCTGTGTATATATCAGTGTGTGCATTCCTTCACATGTCTTCTGAACCTGGAGATGATGGAATTTATGACCACTGAAACTTCATGAATCTTGTCTTTTTTCAGGTTCAGTGCAGCATGTGTCTGGAATATGCATAAGATGGAGACAGGCTTGAGAGCTTACCTGACCGAAGTGAACTGTTTTGCTGCAGACAACCTAACTGCTCGCGCAATCACACAGAAAAATTTTGATGCTGCTGCTTTCCAATATTATGAATGAAGAGAAGAGAGAGATGCTACTTCCTTCCTCCTTGATAAAGAGCAATATTGGATATCTTTGGGAGACCTGTGAGACTCAGTTTTGTAGACTCTGAAGACTGTCCCCAAATTCTACATTGAAAAAAATGCCCCATAAAATTAGCAGTGATATCTACCAAAATCAGTGGCACAGCTTCCCAGCAAATCTTCCCACTGCTTCTCTAGCTTTTCAATACCTACGTATTTCATGTTTATTTCAAGTTATTTTAAAGGACTCAGTGTTTCAATGAATCATTGGTTACTGCTTTTATTTTTGTTTAAAGCTGCTGCTCTACACCTTTATTGCTATAATTGAATAAGGATGCCTCCAGTCAGAAGTCTTCAATCAGTTTCCTTCCAGGTTAATTGGTGACTATTTGTTATTTCCTTTTGCAAGGCTCTATGGTCAGGGACTGTCCAGGCATCAGAGGACTACAATTCTGTGATTCTCTGGTCAGGAAATGTAATAGGGAACAACAAAAAATTGCTGATGAACACCAGTTGAAGAATTCCAATCAAAGATTTTGGACTGATTGTCCATTTTTGATCAATCAGCCTGTCTTTATATGCTTATTGCGTTGAGTGCTTAGGAAAAAAGAGGGATAGTTTTGCATTGCTGCATTTGTGCAAAATACAGAAACATAATAAAAAAGTATGTGTCCTACTTTTGCAGATGAGAATATCTGAAAGGGCAGAACTATCCTCATCATGTTCAGATGGCCTTTTCAAAAAATTGTGTATTGGCTAGATTTTCCCACACCTTTTGTGTGCCTTTTGGGAGAGCTTGGCAGGCTGAAGCCTACATAAAGAATGGAAAAGATGTGCATTATTTGAAGGAAAAGGTACACTGTTTTCTAAACCAAAAGTGGGACAAAAGTAATTCTTGGTCTTCTCGCATATTTCAGAATGATCTACAATTTGTCAGGTTGACCCTGGAAGCAGATTAGGGAATCTAGGTCAGCAGCGGAGGAGGGGAGTGAACTTGACCCTCAGAATCTTAAACCTGGAATTTCTTTAAACAGGTAAAGATAAAAACTAAAAACTTGTAAAGGCAGAACTCTACAAAGAAGCTTTTAAAAACTTAATATCCCTAAGGTACTGATTTTAGGAACTATATCCGGATGTCACCACATGTTTTATTTTATTTCTTATATTGCGTGATTAATTTATGTTCCTTATAGAAATGGACTGAGATTTCATGTTTTATTTTCTGTGTTTACTGCCCAGAGTACTCAGTGGTAAACAAATAAAAAACACTGCTGTCAAGTCTATGATCCATGTTGTTGTTATTTAGTCGTTAAGTCATGTCCAACTTTTTGTGACCCCATGGTCCAGAACACGCCAGGCCCTCCCGTCTTCCACTGCCTCATGCAGTTTGGCCAAATTCATGTTGGTAGCTTCGGTGATGCTCTCCAGCCATCTCATCGTCTTCTCCTCTGGCCTTCACACTTTCCCAACATCAGGGTCTTTTCCAGGGAGTCTTTTCTTCTTATGAGATGGCCAAAGTATTGGAGCCTCAGCTTCAGGATCTGTCCTTCCAGTGAGCACTCAGGGTTGATTTCCTTCACAATGGATAGGTTTGTTCTCCTTGCAGTCCAGAGGACTCTCAAGAGTCTCCTCCAGCACCACAATTTAAAAGCATCAATTCTTCAGTGGTCAGCCACCTTCATGGTCCAGCTCTCACTTCCATACATCGCAACTGGAGAAAACATAGCTTTGACTATGTGATGTCTCTGCTTTTTAAGATGCTGTCTAGATTTCTCATCGCTTTCCTCCCAAGAAGCAGGTGTCTTTTAATTTCGTGGCTGCTGTCACCATCTGCAGTGATCATGGAGCCCAAGAAGGTAAAATCTTTCACTGCCACCATATTTTCCCCTTCTATTTGCCAGGAGGTGATGGGACCAGTGGCCATGATCTTAATTTTTTTT